CTCATTGGCTGCAGTATGTCTGAAGAGGAGAGATTCCTGCATATGTATAGGCTGTACATGAACTGTGGGAAAACTAGGTTCTTGCTCCTATGTAGAGCTTTCTCTTCAGACGTGTTGCTGCTATTGTGAGTAAAACAATCAGAGAGGCATGTGGTGCTTTTTTCTCCTCTCAACTTGTTGGTGGTTTGGGATTAGAGTATGACTGAATAGATCTCCACTGTTTGTTCCATTGTTCCTTGATCATGAACACATCTAGCAGCAGAGCTTTAAACGAGATGAGTGTGTGATCCCGCAGATACTGTTCCATTAGAGATGATTAGAGATGATGGGAATCACAGGCCAGCAATAGTCAGAGGGCTACACTTTGTTCACCTCTGCTTCTAACCTCATGCAGAATCTTGCAAGTGCAGGTCCTGCCTTGTAGCAATGCAGAGATGTTGGGGATTCACCCTGGGAAAATGCAGCTGTTCCGCCACTGAATTGTGGTCCTTGTTTTCCACTGAAACCTGAAATGGTGTTACTTCTTTGAATGTGTGGTGCAAAACCAGTGCTTTGGATCAACTTTATAACCTGCTTGTCCTTTTGAATAGGGGACACTGCGCAAAGTGTAGACTGTATGTAATAGCAGTGGGCAATACTCCATAAGTGTGGGTTGGATTTGTAAAAATGCCACAGCTCCTTTTGTGGATAAAGGTGTCAAGTATGTCATACCTGCATGCAGGAAGGTGCAAGTGTCTGAAAAGATGAAGGAGCTGATTTTTATATGAAAAGGTACTGTTCAAAAGAAGTCCTTCCTGGAGGTGCCTTACCTCTCTGGCTATATCAGGATTCTGTCTGACCCTCTGCTACTTTCTGGTGCCTTCCCTCTCTTTCTCAACTTGCTCACTTTCTTTGCAGTGTCACACTTGCTCTCCTTCTTGTCCTGGCTGCCTTTTGTCATGTCTCTTCCTTTCCCTGCATCTTTTCAGTTCCCATCATTTTCTACCTTTGGCAGCTCATATTCTGCAGCCATTTAGAACAAATGTTACAACGATGTACCAGCTTGTCTGTCTCCAAAAAGAAAACATATGAGAGGGTGACAGGAGGTAAACCATGTGAACTTCTAGTCAATCTGAATTTCTGTAGTTGTGTCTCTAGGTTTGGACACAGCCAGACGTCTTTCTCAGATGTCAAAATGGAAAACATGTATAGTTATTGTTCAGTTAACAAGGTATGTACAAGTTACTGTGCCCTCCTTAAGAATGGCAGGCATGAGATTTACAGTTCCTGTAATGTGTAAGGGAAGAGGTTTCAGCAAACGGAGAGCAGAAATGGTAAATCTTCATTTATTTCGTCCTCACAGGTGAGAACAACAAAATTCAAAAAGAGTTTTCATGTGTTTATTGCATTCTTTGTAAAGCTGGTACAGTGGGGTCTGGACTTGAGAACTTAATTTCATTTATTTCATCGTCACAGGTGAGACCAACAAAATTCAAAAAGTTTTCTCCTTATTGGGTGAGACTAAAAGAGTTTTCATGTGTTTATTGCATTTCTTTGGAAAGCTGGTAGAACTATTTTTCACATAGGGTTGTGCTTTGCAAAAAAAAAGAGAGGAATTTTTTTTCACTAAAAAAACTTTCTGCAAAAATTCGCAGTACAGCTTTTGACCATATATATGGTCAAAAGCTGTACTGC